AGAAGTTACATAATTATACTGTTTTAGTCATTATGTTAGTCATATTTAGTCATATGCCAGATTAATAATATCTGTCATATGTTGGTAAGAAAAAATAGTTGACATATGTTTGCGGTTCAATCAAAATAACTGTCCAGAGGGGGCAGTAACGAGGCTTGCCGAGAGACAGATATTCCAATCTGAACCGCAAACAAATATCAACTATTTTTTTGCATATTCTACCATATTCCATCATATTTTAAACTCTACCTTGATAAAACAATTTTCCATGGAAATTTATGTTATTACACCCGTAACTATTTTCTTAAACAACTTCATTCATAATGGTAAAATTACATCATTCTCAACATTCCATTGTACAGCACGCGACACATCCGGCACCCCCATGCCAGATGAAAATTCCGGCATGGGTAAAACTAACGAAAACGCCAGTCTGATACGGAAGAAAAGTATCCCATAAATAACTGATGTTATGCCTCCAGATCTTCACAGATTAATTAAAGCAGCATGCCCCCAGATTCATGGTAATTTTCACGAAAATTTCTTAAAATGTTTTAAAAGTAAAATATTGTCAAGTGAACAAAGAAAGTAATTTACACATTTCAATTAGCACTTAAAATCTATGAAAATTACCAAAAATAAGTCAGAGTATCTAACTGCATTAGTCACCCAGTAGAAATATGGTGATAAATACTGCAAAATCAGTCATTAATTGCATATTATATGCAAATTATTACTTGACTTATGAATATATTTACTTTTCTCAAAATCTTAGTACATTTTTCTCAAGGTTGATTTAAAAAAAAAAAATCCACACATCCGGAGGCGTGCACCTTTAATCATTAATGACTCAACCAAAAATATTTCTGTACCGTTATCATGTAGAGACATGTGATATTTCTGAAGTAAACATTTTCCATCTGAGAATAAATAATTACAGTGACCATTATTTGTCTACTCACTGTATCCAAGCTGGATAATGGATCTATATTATGTCTGCATTTATCTGAGATTTCTATGCTTGTTATGAAGAAAACAACTGGCAATAAAAGTACTGTCTACATGTTTACTTGAAATAACATGTTATATATCAGAAGGAAACAAAATGTGATGAAATACTTGTGTCATAAGTACTCTTACAATTTCTATATAAACATATGGTTTAAATGTTATAGGGTGGCACCCCAATAATTTTGATAGTTTAGAAATATTCAAAGACAAGTCCATTTAAAACTGATAACGTTTTATGTTTGTACAGTTTGTACAGACTTACAGTACACATTACGTATATACTAAATTTAATACCAGTATATGGTTAATAGCCTGGGTTACCAAGGATAGATTTGTTTATGCATGTAATAAAATGCCCGACAAACTAGTACCTTGCCCAAGTATCATATCTGGCAAGAAAAAACAGAGGGGCTCGTCAACGGACGAAACGTCACCGTAAGCCAGGCATGTCAACACTATGATCATTTCAAATTTACCTGTTGAAGTGCTAGGCATGGCATATGTTTGTCAATATATGTGTAACATTTTTCTTCCACTGTCATTTCAACGTGAAGAAGGAAGAAGCGGACTATCTGAACAGAATCTGGACTAAATGGCTGAATTAACTGGCACTCAGATCATTGTGTGCATGTTTATATAAAGATACTCCTTGTACACGTGGCAGAGATTTCCTCTATAGGTGTGTACTGCATACCCAATGAACTTAAAACATTTTATCAAATTAAATTCTAATGGTTAACTGCATATTGTAAGAAATTATTTATAAACAGAGCAAAACAAGGTAATAATAACCTTGACAACTTTTAAGTAAAATATCTCTTTCAAGGCCATATTGACTAATTAATCTTGATAAAATCAGCTTCCTATTTTTTGCCAAAAGTGGAAACATTTCTCATCATAAATAATTTGTTTTTAATTAAATTCACTTAAACTGAAATTGATATTATTCATTTGGGTCTATAAAGGAGTGTGTATAAATACTTGATATTTAATTTCATGCAAATGAGAGTGAAACTGCGTGTAAAAAAGCAGTTATTAATGCAGAAATGGTGAAAATATTTACAAAACAAATTAATGCACGTCGGGCTGTTACATCATATATTATACCTAGAATTCAACATCCGCAATACACAGAATTGTTTCAATTTCTTGCTAAAACTCTTTTTTGTAGCTAGATTTACCTCAACTTATGATGAAAAGTTTTATGCACTATTTCTGATGACTTCAGTTAACCAGCGCAAAAACATCTGCTGACAGTACAATATACAGTCGAACTTGTGAATACAGACCATCCGAATGAGAGATCCAATATGTACTTTTAAGTCAAGTGGTCTTTATTTTAAGGTTGCTCTGTTATGCTTAATCAAAAAGATGGGGTGTCAAGGAGTGGCCTCTATTTAAAGACTGATCTTTATTTGGAGGTGGTCAGTAACACCTGTTTAACACTGTATTATTTCAGTGTACAGATTCATAGATTAACAGAAATATAATTTTTTATTACATGTTTTTCTGTGGTTTATAGAAATATATCAGTGAAATTATCAATTTGATAATTTCACTGTTTTGAATATTTGAGCCCGTTAGGTTGTTTCAGTGAAATACAAGTGTTCACAGTACTGGAAACCAACTTAATGACGTGACGTCATAAATGACGTCACGTTGTATTATTATTTGGCGCCCTTTTCATTTAGTACTAGGTTAAAATGTCTTTTTAAATGTTTCTTTGCATATAATAAAAAGAAAATTTGTTTAGCTTAATGTAAGATCAAAATATATTTTTATCCTGAAATATACCTTTTGGTGCTCACTCGGTGTAATATATTCCGATCTTACACTGAACTAAACAAATATCCTCTATATAACCAAGCAGTAACAGAAGGTAATAAATAGGGCTATAAACAATTGGTTAAGTAAGTATTCTAGATTTAAATCCAGTAGGCACAACAGTGTAGCCCTATAACCAATCTGTACTTTATAACCAAACAGTATTAGAGCTGAGGTTTATAACCAAACAGTATTAGAGCTGAGGTTTATAACCAAACAGTATTAGAGCTGAGGTTTATAACCAAACAGTATTAGAGCTGAGGTTTATAACCAAACAGTATTAGAGCTGAGGTTTATAACCAAACAGTATTAGAGCTGAGGTTTATAACCAAACAGTATTAGAGCTGAGGTTTGTAACTCAAACAGTATTAGAGCTGACGTTTATAACCAAACAGTATGAGCTTAGGTTTATAACTAAAACAGTATATGAACCTAGGTTTGTGGTTTGTAACTCAAACAGTATTATAGCTTAGGTTTAAAACCAAACAGTATATGAGCCTAGGTTTATAACTTAAACAGTATTAGAGCTAAGGCTTATAACCAAACAGTAAATGAGCCTAGGTTTATAAAAAACAGTATCAGAGCTTAGGTTTATAACCAAACAGTATACAAGTTTAGGTTTATAACAAAACAGTATCAGAGCTTCGGTTTATAACCAAACAGTATATAAGCCTAGGTTTATAACAAAACAGTATTAGAGCTAAGGCTTATAACCATACAGTAAATGAGCCTAGGTTTATAAAAAACAGTATCAGAGCTTAGGTTTATAACCAAACAGTATATAAGCCTAGGTTTATAACAAAACAGTATTAGAGCTTACGTTTATAACCATACAGTATATGAACCTAGGTATGTTGTAACTAAAACAGTATTAGTGCTTAGGTTTATAACCAAACAGTATATGAACCTATGTATGTAACTTTAACAGTATTAGAGCTTAGGCTTATAACCAAAAAGTAAATGAGCCTAGATTTATAAAAAACAGCATCAGAGCTTAGGTTTATAACCAAACATAAATGAGCCTATGTATGTAACTTTAACAGAATTAGAGCTTAGGCTTATAACCAAACAGTATACAAGTCTAGGTTTATATATTACTAATATATATATAATAACCAGCTGAAGTTAAGGGACCTTCAGTACATACGAGTCTAGAAGGATATTTACCAATAAGTTTATTGGTACAAATATTTATAACCGAACAAAACAAACATCTTAACACTAAAGGAGATGCAGGAAACCAAACTATGCAATACAATGACAGATATAACTGTAGGCATCAAGTTTCAAAAGAATATTTAATAATGTGGATTGAATTAAAAATTATTCATCAGAAACACTGCTCAGGAGAAATACATTGTACTACTTTCATCATGGTACGGTTGCAATGACTGTGACCTGCTAAATTCAAATGGCACCATCTGCTTGACATGGAATAAACATAAATGTGTCAAATGCCTCATTATTTGTATCTTATAAAAACATTTTAAACATTATCAATGCTGGGCTACTTATATAAAAACAACTTATCTAATGTTTCATAGAATATTTAATAAAAGAGATTGAAAATTTATGGTTAATTGTTTTGTTTTTTCTTGGTTGTCACACCAACACAGTATTTGTCATATGGCCACAATCAGGCTTTACTGCTGGAGGAAGACCTAAGGTGTCTTTCAGAGCATTATTTCAAGCACAAATGGGAATCTGAGTAGAACTACTGACAAAAATAAACTCGCCCAACTTCAATATTTGGGAATTTGGGACTGTCCATTATTAATGTTAGGACATCAAGATTAAAGTTTTTAGTTAGTTCACAACATTTAATCTGCTGGAACCGCAAATGATTTGCATCTGACCGACTTACTTCAAATTTTTATCATGATGTCCCCTAAAATAATAATGTTAAGTTCCAAAAATGGCTGGAGGACTAGTCAATTTTAGAAATTTTGGAGGTTTTGTGACAGGATGCTGTTATTGGTAAGTGATTCACAACTGAAACATGTCACTGACTGAAGTCTTTGATCATAAGTTAAAACCCTGAGTAAACTGTTCTATTTGTTAATTCTATTTTATTTTACACCTCAAGATACCATGTACTTTCTGTTTAATTTCTTTATAGATATGGACATGGAACATAATTAAAAAAAGAAAAACTTAGTTAAAAATCTTATTTATATTTGTTTATTTTGAAACAATTTACATACAATGGCAGGCAGTCTAGCACACTTTTTTGTGTAGAAGTCAAAAATAAGTTATTCCCCCTTAACAAACTTATTTGTCTCCCTTGGCCAACTTCACTAATAAAACAAACAACTAAATAAAAGAGAGATAATCAAGTTCCAAATTTCTTTCTTTTCAAGGCTTCAGGTAGTGAACTGTACAAATCTAACTGTGGTCTCTCTACCGCCACAAGCCAGTTGTCGGGTAAAACTTCCAGGTGAAACAAAAACTGAAATATAGGAAAAACAACATACATGTAATTATATTTTGGATTCATACACATGGACTACATCACTAAGCAAATAAAATAAATAATCTTTTTATTATTGAAAGTGCATGCTTATAATCTACTGAAATTAATTCTATCTGAAAATGTTAGGCACAACTTTAACTGAAGTCTTTTCCTACCTTAAAGCAGCATGCCTCCAGATTAATGCTAATTTTCATGAAAATGTTTTCATCAAAACATGCAAAAAATAGCCCTTACTCCATTAGTCATGCAGTAGATTTATGGTGATAAATACTGCAAAATCAGCCATTAATCACACAGAACATGTAAATTATAACCTGAACCTTGAATCTTTTTACTTTTCTCAAAATCTTAGTACATTTGTCTAAAATTTCATTCTCTTAAATTTCTCTGGAGGCATGCATCTTTAACTGGTGAAAGACCACAAATTCAAATTATCACATTTCACTACAAAATCTATAGTCACAAGGATAAAATCCTCAGTTGGCAGCACAGTCACATGGAAGAATCCATCATACTTAGATTCAAACACTTATTTCATTTGGCCAAAGGGGACTAATGTATGACTTATCACAGGTTTGATCTTACTTTCACTATCCATGAGTAACTGGCAGAAGAAGACTTACATGTAGTACTTCATTCAAGATTTAGTAGAACCAAAATCATTTTGTTATCTTACTCCTATGTCAGAAGAAATAATCCTCCATGACAGTATTTTAACTTACACTAGCAAGTGGCAAGTGTAAACAAGTAGCCATCCTAAATCACCCCGTCATGCCAAGCCTCATTATGAAGTTGAACATTTACGAAGATGAAATACTAGAAACTTACTGTTTGAGAATCTTCCCAAAAACATGAAAAGACACACTGATAAACCAAAATGTCTGAATATGATAAAAGCATACATTCTCACCTTATATTTCATACAAGTATGTTTAAAGCATACATTTTCACCTTACATTTCATACAAATATGATTTAAGCGTACATTCTCACCTTATATTTCATACAAATATGATCAAAGGGTACCTTCTCACCTTATATTTCATACAAATATTATTAAAACATACATTCTCACCTTATATTTCATACAAATATGATTAAAGCATACTTTCTCACCTTATATTTCATACAGGTATGTTTAAAGCATACTTTCTCACCTTATATTTCATACAATATGATTAAAGCATACATTCTCACCTTATATTTCATACAAATATGATTAAAGCATACTTTCTCACCTTATATTTCATACAAGTTTGTTTAAAGCATACTTTCTCACCTTATATTTTATACAAATATGAATAAAGCGAACATTATCACCTTATATTTCATACAAATATGATTAAAGCATACATTCTCACCTTTTATTTTGTACAAATATAATTTAAGCATACATTCTCACCTTATATTCCACACAAAAATGATAAAAGTATACATTCTCACCTTATATTTCATACAAATATGAAAGGCTGTGGTCTTCTCCAGTTTCAACTCTTCAAAGCTTCTTTTGATGTGTGGAAAGTTCTGCAAGAATTTTTAATTATTTTTTTATCTTATTTTACATATTACTGACAGGAAAAGTCGCACATGTGATTTCAAATTTTTAAATGGCACTTATTGTGCAAATATATTTTGTAAGTCTATGTAAAAGTTCAATGTGACAATATACAATAACAGTTTTATTATCATATATTTGTAAAATAATGAAGTTGTCAGGTTTTTTTTAATCTAAATAAAAAAACTCCCAATAAATGAACAGAATGCTGTGGCTTTGAATGAAGCTGTGGAAAAGCACACAAATTTACACCCTTTTTTTTAGCATTTCTATCCCTTCTTACCACTTTCTTTTGACTGTCATGTGACTGTGTCTCTACCAAACGCAACAAGACAAAATTTGTTTCCTAGAAATCATTTTGTTTCCGTGCTTTATACTTACCATTTGTTTGCTCTAAGCCTGGAAACAACTGGTAAACACTAAGCATGGAAACAACTGGTAAACACTATGCATGGAAACAACTGTTAAACCCTAAGCATGGAAACAAAAGGTAAACACTAAGCATGGAAACAACTGGTAAGCACTAAGCATGGAAACAACTGGTAAACACTTAGCATGGAAACAACTGGTAAACACTCAGCATGGAAACAACTGGTAAACACTAAGCATGGAAACAACTGGTAAACACTAAGCATGGAAACAACAGGTAAACACTAAGCATGGAAACAACTGGTAAACACTAAGCATGGAAACAACTAGTAAACACTAAGCATGGAAACAACTGGTAAGCACTAAGCATGGAAACAACTGGTAAGCACTAAGCATGGAAACTACTAGTAAACACTCAGCATGAGAACAACTGGTAAACACTCAGCATGGAAAGAACTGGTAAACACTAAGCATGCAAACAACTGGTAAACCCTAAGCATGGAAACAAATGGTAAACACTAAACATGGAAACAACTGGTAAACAGTCAGCATGGAAACAACAAGTTAGCATAAAGCATGGAAACAATTGGTAAGCCCATGCTTTAAACTGATCAGTTATTTCAATACTTAATGCTTACCAGTTATAATGGTCCTTTGAGCAATGCAGTAACAGAAGTGGTCTATTCTAGTATATCAACAAGATCTAGTTACTCAATAAATTTAATTGAAAATACTCTAAGGACATTACATTAACCTACAGTAGTTGTTTTCATAAACCAGTTCAAGGACATGCCTAATATGCATACTCGAAATAGTAAAGCTAAATTATGTATGAAAGAACTATATATGGCATATGTCTAACAATATTTTATATGCATATGCATTAATTAATATTTGCAATAACCTTTCAACCTAGATTAAATTTTTAGTACAAGTGAACTAGAATTAGAATGTGGAGATATATATATAGGACATTATCCCAGCTGACACTGCTAAGCCTTCTTGATGAACATTAAGCACCCTATATGTACAGATTAAAGGAATTAACATGGATTTTAAAAAAAAGAAGTAAAATTTACCTGAGTTTTATCTAGTATACAAAACAGCTGTTCATCATGTAAAAACAGCTGATTGTGATTGTTTGGGTTGTAAGAGATCTTTGTGATCTTTGATTTTCTTTTTAACCATGCATTCATGAAACTTTGACTGTGTTTCTTCGTCCAATCAGAAAACTCCATTTGGTTTACATCGAATTCAAATATCTGTAAAAGTAATAACAGTTTTGATGTTCATCAGATACATCATATATGTACAGGTAATACATGTACAGGTAATTTAATTAAAAAAAAATATCAAAAACTTAGTGAGAGGAAAATTGGATTTCATATACAAATTTTCACAAATAAAATAAGTTGCCTGTAGACTTAAATAAAAAGACAACAAGAGACACATGTGGTGTTAACTCTGGTCTGTTAAGGGCAACAACTATCAATAACCATCTTTGTTTAAACAAGAGGGCCATGATGGCCCTGAAATCGCTCACCTGTATAATGAAACTCTCAATAACAAGGAACAAGTAATATTGTAAACTATAGACAAAAGCAGATATAAAATTTAAATCTTAAACTGATATCACAAAGTTCATATTTGTATCTGAAATAGTGTATGTTTAAAAACATTAGTTCTTAATATATACATATAAAGAAAATCAATGCCCCCACCAAAGCTCTTGCTCTTTGGGTTTTTTAAAAGACGATTTTTTAATATTTTCCTATACTGGCATGCGAGCAGTTCCCGTACAGAAGCAGTACCCGTATTTTTCATTTAAACGCTTGATTTTTACATGCATTCTTCAAAAATTCATTTCAAATCAAGCAGATACATAAACGAAACAAAATCTAAGTGTCAGTTCGGCAGTACGTATAAAAAGTCTCATTTTAAATCACTTTCACAGGTGCGTTGTCAAAACGTGACCCTGTTTTATCTGGGGGAATTCCGTCTTTGCGCGCATGCGCAAACATACTTACACGTGAGGCATGTTAAAGAGTTTTCTACTAATACCACCTGTTTACAGATAAGAAGGCAATGCGATGAAAACTTGTTTAATTATCAGAATTTTGACCAATATTACTATATAAAATAATTTTATGGCTTTGATGCGTAAAATATCATGCATACAAGCATGCCATCGCATGTGAATGCGTTGGGGGTAACGGTACCGGGTAATACATACACGCGTTTAGTCTACTTTCTATTTTCTGAATTACATCTATTTATCTCTTAGAAAATGGTCTGTTCAACAATTATAAATGAAAAAATAGGTCCGATATAATAAAATTGTATAATTATAATGGGTTAAATTTTATGTACGGGAACTACTTCTCTTCATACAAAATAATGGATAATTTCGGTACCCCATATGAGGCCTCATAACTAAGGGTTATTCTATGTTTAGAACATGATGGAATTTCCATGATTTGTGTGACGAGCCGAATATTGATGTGTAACATTCAAATTTTGGTGAGTGAGCGTAATAAAAAATAATGATTAAGTAACTACGATTTTTGTACGGAAACTGCTCGCATGCCAGTACACATATATGGAAAAACAATGACCCCCTGGGGCAGAGCCAATTTTGACCCAAGGGCTTTTATTTGGACATACTTGGGAGACACCCACTAGAAGATGTTTCATGCAAAATATCTAAGCTCTAGCTGTTTGGGCTTTTAAAAGAAGATTTTTTTAATGTTTTCTTTTGGTTGCCATGGCAATCAGAGTTCTGCATGGAATTAAATTCTTTGAACAATTTTGAAAGGTGACCACGAAGGGAACATTCCTGTGAAGTTTGGATGAAATTGGCTCAGTGGTTTATGAGGAGATGTTGTTTGAAGTAAAAGTTTACGAACAACGGACGAAAAGCGATCACAAAAGCTCACCATGTCTCTTTGTGACAGGTGAGCTTAAAACAAAATGGTGTCTAAGCTTTTAAGGAATATAACTCTGAAAAATATTGCTTTCAGGATAATGCCCCTTGTCTTTCAACTGTACATTATTAAGTATTCCAAATTTCCTGTTAATATCTTTCACAATTTTTGAATCATTCTACTTGATGAGCAATTTTGGCAAAAAAAGTTTAACTTGAACAGGGGCATAACTCTAAAATATAGCTTTCAGAATAATGCCCTTTGTCAAACAACTGTGCCTCTTGTCATGATAAACAAGTATTTAAAGTTTCATGTTTATACCTTTCATAGTTTTCAAATCATTCTGTATAAAAGGCAGTATTTGGTAAAAAGGGGCAAAAAACTCGAAAATGTAGCTTTCAAAATATGCCCCTTGTCTTATAACTGCATTTTGTAATGATAAGCAAGTACAGTCTACTCCACTGATAACAAGATCGGTTTTAACGAGATACCGCTTGTAATGTATTTTCTTATGTGTCCAGGCCTTTTTCCTTCTATGTTCCTTTCATTTTATATCGTTTATAATGACACAATGTAATCAATTTACGATTTAAAGCACCCTAATAATCAATGCTGTATCAAATATACTATATACCTTTTGATTGGTGTATGCCATTACTACCATCTTACTGTCGGGACTGAAACTGAGTGCCGACACCTGATGACCTTGTCTAGGTACACTACATACATGCTGAAATATAAATACATTCACTTATAAATCAACCTCTCCACATGTCCAGCAAAACAATAACAAAGAAATTTTAAATCTTTTTTTTATATATGTTATGTTCTCTACACTGTTGACCAAAACATATGACAAATTTATCAAATGAATTGTATTTGTTTGGTTTATTGTTAGGTTTATTCTGGATATTGTTGTTGGCTACATCCATGTGTCTAACTAGCCTGTCTAATTAGTCCTTGTATAGATTAGGACTTTATGTGACTTCATTGTAAAGGCAAGACTTTATATGAATTCATTGTAAAGGCTAGGACTTTATGTGACTTCATTTTAAAGGCAAGGACTTTATGTGACTTCATTGTAAAGGCAAGGACTTTATGTGACTTCATTTTAAAGGCAAGGACTTTATGTGACTTCATTGTAAAGGCTAGGACTTTATGTGACTTCATTTTAAAGGCAAGGACTTTATGTGACTTCATTGTAAAGGCAAGGACTTTATGTGACTTCATTGTAAAGGCAAGACTTTATATGAATTCATTGTAAAGGCTAGGACTTTATGTGACTTCATTTTAAAGGCAAGGACTTTATGTGACTTCCTTTATGTGACTTTATTGTGTAGGCCAGGATTTCATTGTATAGACTAGGACTTTATGTGACTTCATTGTATAGACTAGGACTTTATGTGACTTCATTGTATAGGCTAAGACTTTATATTACTTCATTGTATTCTTTTTTTTTAATGTAGAAGTATAATTACAAATACATTGTTATTTATATTTCAAGCTTACTGGTCGTCTGGATTATATTTTTGCGCATATGAACTCAAACTGTGCATAATTTTTCCACAATTAACTAAAAATTGAATGAACATTCTTTACCACAGATAGCACAATCATGCAGTCTGGCCAGACTCTTATGTTCCAACTTTAAATTCTCGTTTAAGTTTTGCCAAAAAATCATTGATAACAGTTACAAAACTGGAAGCTGGAAGTTCATGTCAGACATTAAGGTGGGTCAATGAACTGAATACCGTTTCAAACACACTTTTCCTGTTTATTTTTTCCTGAACACTCCTAACTTCCTCTTGGATGGGCATTATGTAACTTTAATAAAGTGAAAACTTGTTTTGTTTAAGAGGACAATGGCAGAACACTCCTAACTTCCTCTTGGATAGGCATTATGTTGCTTTAACAAAGTGAAAACTTGTTTTGTTTCTTGTTTCAGAGGACAATGGCCTGAAATCCCAATATAAACTTTAACAGTAGATATATGGTCCCATCTGCTTACTTGTATGTGATCAGATACACGATGTAAAAGATAGGGTGATTTATAATCAGATCTCATACAATACCTGTATAGAATTGAGATTGTAAACATGCACGTTGCAATCATGATCGGCAACAGCTGCAAACTGGTCATCCTTACTCACATCTAACAAATGTAGACTTTCTACAATACAAAACAATTCTCAAAATAATTAATTCTTATCTATTCCATAGAATTTCAAGTTTCACAGACGAGAAACAAAACAAAACAATGGCAAAGAAATCGGTCAAACATGACAAATGCTGTCAATGACACTGACAAAGCTAAAATGTAGGAAAATCTATTTTTAACCTTAACGACCTTGACCTAATAAACAGGTGATCTTGTCCAATGTTTGAGCATTAATCATAGTCAATATCGCATAATTATTACAGATGTATAACAGATAAATTTTGGACATAGATGTAGTTATGATTCCTGACTTTTTATTACTTGCCACTTTAGTCATTGATGATGTATATGGCTAATTGAATATCTGTATTTTTAAAAACTTGTTTGTAAAAGCAATTGAAAATTATTCTCATGCACCTTTCGCGACAAAGAATGCTATTTCTGTATTATGTATATCACTCCATTACTTTAAATTACATGTAACACTAACAAATTGATAAGTTTACCAGACAGCTGTGGAAATGTATGCTCCACGGATATTGAGGCTGGCTGAATGGAGCAGATCTGTACGCATGATGAGGACGTTACGGTGACAAGACGTGTCTTATCCGAGGTGAAGCACATACAATGAGCGCCATCTGGTGGACTGTCTGTAGCGGGAGTGATTTTCTTCATACTTACACCAGGCTGTATATCCGTCAAGTTCTCCTGAAAGTGTATTTATCAATATAGTAAGCAAAACAATACAAGAAATTTAGCTGAAGGGATGGATGCTCCCTGAACTGGCACATTTGTCAGTGATTATACACCAGTCATATATAAAAGAGAAAATGTCAACAACATTCAGCTTGAGTACTTAACCCCATGTCCCCTACATATAGACATCAATCAAGAATAATAAAGTTTAAAAATCATCATAGTTGGAAACTACATTGCAGTGACATTTTCTCCACCAAAGTTTAAGACCACTAAAGAGACATATCTAGGAGACTGAGGTTTTCGTACACAACACAATGTCTATTGTAGTTCATTACTGCTTTAGGAAAACCTTGGGACTCTTCTGTGCAATCATCAGAGTAGAAAACCGATTCTGTAGCTACTGGATACTCCACAGAAAGATCCAAAATCCCTCAGATTAGTACGACAAAGGGTTTAATCATTATCATGGGGACGTATAACTAAAATTTTTCAAGTATTCATAAATACTGACCAAGGTGATACTGTAAAATCTCAGTGTGTCACAATCAGAGTATGACATAAATGATGCATCCTGGGTAATACTGCTGCAGAAGATAGGCACACCACCTTTTGTCTTCAATTGAATGAGTTTGATAGGGTTTGATCTCAATGGAAGAATATCACCATTATTACCTGAAACAAGACAAGTTCAATGGTCAACATTTATAATGTAAAGTAAAAGTATCAGAAATATAATTGGCCATCATATTGTCAAGGAAAAGAAGTGATGTGCACTCACAAATTCATAACTTTAGATCTATCATTCTTCCTCCTATAAGGTAATCATTGAGAATATGAATAGACTGTAAACTAACTTTCCTCAGACTGTGTTAATCATTTAGAAACTGAACAGACTGTAAACTAGCTTTATCCCTTTGAATACATCAGTGAGAAACTGAACAGTCTGTAAACTATTATTCCCCTTTGCTGAGTTAGTCCCTGTGACCCTGGCCTTTGATCCAATGAACCCAAACTAGTAAGGGTCATCTACGAACCATAATTATCGTCCTTACCTAATTTCATAAACCAAAGGCTTATTCATTATCTCAAAATCAACAGGGGTAATCAACTGGCTATGGTAAATGCCCCTACCAAGTATCATAAAGCACAACTTATTTCTTCTCTAGTTATTGATAGGACAAGAGTAACAGGATATACGTATGTATATAAGTATGTACCTAATGTATGTATGTACGTTATGTATGTTTGTATGTATGTACGTTACGTATGTATGTACTTAGTGTGTGTGTATGTGTGCGTGTGCGCGCGCGTGAGTGCGTATGCATGTATGTACAGTATGTATGTACGAATGTATGTATGTATGTACGAATGTATGTATGTATGTATATACGTATGTAAGTATGTATGTATGTACGTATGTAGGTATGTACATATGTATGTTAGTATGAATGTATGTATGTATTATGTATGTATGTACATACATATGTATGTACGTATGTACATATATATGTGTGTGTGTATATATGTATGTACGTATATTTGTATGTATTGAAATATGGCCCCCATTCTTTTAAGTTGTGGCAAACAAGGAAGAAACAGGGAAAAAAAACCCCAAGACCCATAGATTAACAGTACATGTATTTTGTCCTTACAAAGTACACTGAAAAACTTTTTATCATCCTTTACAGAACTGAGCACTGATCTATCCACATAATGATATGTACTTTAAGGTGAAAAGTCAACAGTTCATTGTACATCTTATTAAACCATAAAATTAAATAATATTATATATTATATACCTTTGCTAATATGTTATTCTATTTCAAACATATGTACTAGACATGCTAATGCTGTTATTGGAATACTTGCGTAACAAAATACGTGGAAATATTCATTTTCAATTCATTAATACATTGACAGTTTATTGACAGTTGACAATGACCGGTGTCATTCACATTCACATATGATTCTATAGGAAACCAATGCAATGAATACATAACTGAAATACTGGTCATAACTGATAATGACATGAAACAAAAATGTACAATAAAAAATATCAATTTCTGTGACTTATATATGGCAAAATTTGAAACATTAAAAAAATGAAATGACTTGCAGAACCTTATTATTTATGTATTTATTAAAGGGACTCAACTGAGGGTTACCGAAACAGAAAATTTGTTTTTCAATTTTATTCTGGGCATAATTCTATTTAATCATTTGGAGATTTTTTCCATTCTCAGTTTATATACGAGCTTCAAATTTTAATTTCATGTTTTTAAGCTGTCATTACTAATGGGAGTGTGAGGTCCTGCAAACGGTAGTTGTAAAGAAATACAGATGCCTTGAATGTATTATAGAACTTCATTTCCAACAAACAGCGAAGATTAGAACTTACGGTGATTGGCATGAAGAAGACGTTCCCTATATGGCTTCAATTAGCAGACCCGAAAAAATGCTGAAAGTCTCGGAAATATGGTAAATCCTGCGCCAAGTGTACATAAAACAAAAACAACAACAAAATAAGGACCATCCCTATGAAGTTTGTTCAAACTCCATCCTGTTGTTTAGGAAGATCTTGTTTAAATAAATTGTGGATAACGACGGATGACAGACGACCAACACTTCCGCCTTCACAAAAGCTAACCTCTGAGCACTGTGTGCTTAGGTGAGTTTAAAACAACTTACCAGTATTTTGTGTAAATCCTAATCTCCAAACCTCTATATGGTAAGTGTACTGTAAAAGTATTACATTCACATCTCCCGCAACTTTAACTAGTGATTTCTACAAATAAAAATTGATAATTATAATATCTAACAATAATTAAGCAAAGAATAAAACAAAAATAACTCCCTGTAGAGCCAAAGATGCATAGTTCTTAAGCCGTTTGGTATGGTACTGTTAATTTAACAAAATCCATAAATTAATTGCACATAATGCAAGGCCGTTTGAAACTTTATTTAAACCAGGTCCGGGCTTATTTTACTTCAGGGGTATAATTTACCTAAAAGCATTGCTACTTGTAATTAGTATGCCTTGTATTTCTTGTAAAGAAGTGTTATTTTCCTACATGAGTCTATGTAAACAATAACCTATGAACAGGGCATTTTTGATCCTTAATACATTGTTTAAGTAAGCATAGCCAAGCATTTCCACATATCACATAGGCAAGCTTTAGATTTGTTTGTTTGTTTATAAGGTTTTACAGCACACAAACACAGGATAGGTCATATGGCACATAAACAGGAAAGACGGTTTTGGTTAACCTTTGGTATAACGAACTTCAAAACAATACTAGGGATCAAAACCATCTCACCTCACTGGCTAGAGCTAAGAGATGCATAGACTCATTAGTCTATGATAGAATCCAGTTATTCGATTCTATTTAGTCGCCTCTTACAATCATACAGAGATAAACGGTGACTGCAATTCTGATGCCTAAACGCTTTAAAGGCAACCCCTCAGCCACAAGTGGGTTTAATTAGCATTTAGATTTATCACTTACTGTAATCTACTTGCTACTAAGATGTATTGTTATTTTATTTAGCTTCAGGTTACATAGACACTGTTTATGTTACATGTAGATATGTCATCATTATTAGTGCAGGAACCAACAAGTTTAAGGCACACTTAGACATCTATTTGGCAATTAAACGTTAGTTTAACAATTCCAAGATATTCGTCTGCTTATGCAATAAGTGATGCAGGCTCTATCATATATACCTTCTTGTATCACATTAATTGCATTCCATGCATTAAATGTCATTTGTCATGTAGGAAGAAAAGTTACAAATTTGATATTATGACCCCTTATAATAAGCCTAAGAGGCTTCCATACCGTTATATTAGTTTATATGGAAACTAAACAGATCAAAAAGCTTCAGATTTAACTCACTACAGTGTTGGAGCAGTACCCCTTGATACTTGACAGACAACATGGTCTCAAGAAGAAAAATGTAGCTTTTTTCAGTGAATTTCACTTTTTTCATTTATAATCATATATAAATTGGTGAGTTGGATTAGCCATTTTAAAATGCATTTTTGGTGGTCAAAAAGGCGCCTTATTGGTATTATACCAGAATACAGTACATGTATTTAGTGTGGTGCTCCAAACACTGTTTTTAGCCTCACTCACTGGCTTCTTTCCAGCAGCGCTATCTCCATAATGGTGGCCAAAGATCTGTAACAGGTAATTTGGAGACAACAACTGAAATATATGAGCCGCATCAGGACAAAACCAACATAATGCGTTTGCGACCAGCATGGATTCAGACCAGCCTGCACATCCGCGCAGTCTGATCAGGATCCATGCTGTTCGCTATCAGTTTCTCTTCTTGTAATAGGGTTGGTAAGCGAACAGCATGGATCCTGATCAGACTGCGCGGATGCGCAGGCTGGTCTGGATCCATGCTGGTCGCAAACGCATTGTGTTGCTTTTGTCGTGACGCGGCTCAATTATAATGATGTTTACCTGTGGGACAGGAGTTATACGCTTCCATTTGTTTTCTGATGAATGTCTTTTATGTCCTACATCACTACCAATACTTGACAAATTAAACTGTATCAAATTTGTATCTACACCTGTCAAATAAAGTGTTAAGTACAAATACAAATAGTATATTTGTGAATTTCAACAAACTTGGTTTGTAATTAAACTTTTTTTTTCTTTGTTTGGTTTTACATGACATCAACACAGTGTAGGTCATATGGCGAATTTCCAGCTTTACTGGTGAAGGAAGACCTCAGGTGCCCTTCCGTGCATTATTTCAGGCCTAAAAGGCACCTGAGTAGAACCACCAAATATAAACTAGCTGCATAGCTTCCTCACATGAAAGAAACCATAGTCCCTAGGTGCTACCCAAGGTTGCCTTGACAAAGCTACAGATGTTAAAAGAGGTCCATAATGCCTTATAAATGCTATTAATTTTATATTTCAAAAGCTTTTTAATTTTGGTGCACATTTTATAGTATCCAAAAAGTTACTTATTGGTCAATTACCTGAACGATCTTTTTCTTCTGTTGCCTTTTGGCAATAAGTACAATTAGAGTGAATTAGTATTTTGTATGGCAGTCAAAATACTACTTTGTTTACATTAGGAAAATCTTTTTTCACTGCAGTCTAGAAGCCATGAGCCATTCTGGCTGTACCTTATGGCAATATTTACTAGCCCCAAATGGTTTTAAAAAAAATCAAATAAAAAAATCAAAGTATTAAACTGGAAACTATTTATTACTGAACTGAAAATTCAACTAAGGAAAGCAAAAGAGCCAGTTTATCTTCTATTTTTGATATATAACTATCACATAAATGTGACTGAAACATATAAATGAATGTATATTAAAGTCAATTCTATATTTATAATGATAGTAAAATGAGACAATAAGCATCCGTTAGATGCGAAAGTTGGAATTTTAATTATATATCTAGGAAAACCAAATAATACTAAATGGGTTTATTTAAATATCTTTTTTTGTTTTACATGTCCTTTTAAAGAACTTCACGCATGTTCTTGTTGACCTTTATAAAATCATATAACTTTGAATTTACATCTAAAATCTGAATAAAAGTATCACAATTATTTTACTACTTGATGCACTAATACATTGAATTTTGCCTTGTTAATGACCAAGCTATACCTTTATAAAAACTACTCAAGTAATGATTAAATTCAATTTCTGCACGGTTCTGCAGATATTTGAAAGCTTCAATGTTTGTTGGATTTTTTTTTTTATCTTTTGAGAGAATGACGTCTTGGTCTAGTCTATTTAATGGATAATAAAGTAACAATGTATACAAGATTACAGAAGAAACTTCTCGGATTTCAAGGCTGTCTTCTATAAATCACATTATTTCATATCTCCATAGAGGACACTTATTTGACTTTGTCGTCTGCTAGTGGCAAAGTCTGCGTCTGCTATTCTGTCAATATGTTCATATTTTAAAGTTACAAGCGGATAAATCAATACAATGTAAAAGCTCTAATTGATAGCGATAAAATGACTGTCTCACAGACTATTCTAACATTAATGTTAAATGTCTTTCAATTTTGCTAGAGGTCATGTAAGTTTGTTTCAATGACTTACAGAATTTTACGTGCATCTACATGTATTAGTACACCCTGACCTATATATAAAATGATCTTCACCTTGTAAATTGTGCATCAAAGTGACTGAGAACTACATTTGTGTACAAAACGTGATGCTAAGTGTACATGTCATTTCCTTCTTTCAATATGCCACAACAATGCATTATTTTCTATAGTGAAAGGAATTCTTTCAAAATAATGAATATTCAAATAGAAAATAAATGATGAATGAGTAAAACCGACAAAATAAAATCAACTGTATTATACGAGGATTTTAACATTGAAGTATTATAGATAAACTGCTAATAGGTTGCTTCTATTTTTCACTTTATTGAATGTGCAATAGAAATAAATGATGACCTAAGAGAGGCTGTATTGAATAAAACTGGTTGAGTAAAACCAACTTTATTATATGGGGATTTTAATTTATCAAGGTATTATAGATAAATGGGGTAGTAATAATAATATGTCTATCAAATCTATGATACCTGGAAATAAAATTGAGATTTTGAAATTTTTCAGGCAATCATTCACATCTTAATGCAATAAATACAGGATGGACATTGATAAAACGATTTTAAAGATCTTCAAGAAAGATGACCCGTATCTCTATTTTATCCTTCTTATAGAAATTTTGTCTTTTAAATCAGCAAAATAATTGAAATGAAACACTAATCATAACAGAATTGCATCACAATGTAAGGTAAATTATCATAAATCTGGAAATTTTAGAGATTTGTTTTTCTTTTGTTTTATAAAACCCATAAACTAACAGATCTTTCAGTGATAAACCAGGATGGAAAAGCTCAGGGTACTTTATACTTCCACGTCTCGAAATAATTCAAAGAATTAAAACCAATATGAGCCACGTCACGACAAAACCAACATAGTGGGTTTGCAACCAGCATGGATTCAGACCAGTCTGCGCATCCGCACAGTCTGATCAGGATCCATGCTGTTCGCTTACCAACTCTATTTCAAGTAGAGAAACTGATAGCGAACAGCATGGATCTTGATCAGACTGTGCGATTGCGCAGGCTGGTCTGGATCCATGCTGGTCACAAACCCATTATGTTGGTTTTGTTGTGACGCGGCTCATATGTATAGTGCAACAACCTTTTATGAAAAAAAAATTAAACTAGAACTATCACTAAATGTGATTAATACCCCCACAAGTCTGCTTCGGAAATGAGGATGTTACTAGTAACAGAATACCTTTTAAAAGAATTTAAACATAGAGTTATGGTTGTGGGCAATTAAAGATAATTGTTGTTCATATATGTTGCATTTCCTTTGAATGTGGTTGGCCATTGATGAAGTTTAATTGAATTACTCTGTAATAAGTCCAGAAAGACAAAGAAAAAGAACAAAGGGCAATAACTCTATAAATACTGAAGATAGAGTTATAGTTCTTGTGCAATGCACTTCCTCTTATTGTGCTTGACCATTGTATGAAGTTGTTTTGAATTCCAACCAGTACGTTTTAAGTTATGCTCTGGACAAGGAAAAGTATCAAAGGGCAGTAACTCTGTATTTTGTCAAAATGGAGTTATGGCTCTTGTGCACTGCACTTCCTTTTAATGTCCTTGACAACTGTATGAAGTTGTACTGAATTCCAAACAGTAGTTTTCAAGTTATGCTCTGGACAAGGAAAAGTAACAAAGGGCAATATAAAAGTTCATATGCACAGCACTTCCTCTCAATGTGCTTGACCATTGTATGAAGTTATAATGAATTCCAACAATAAGTCTTCAAGTTATGGTCCGGACAAAAGAAAGCAATGGAAAAGAAACAAAGGGCAATAACTCTGTAATTAGTCAAGATGGAGTTATGGTTCTTGTGCACTGCACTTCCCCTTATTGTGCTTGACCATTGTATGAAGTTGTTTTGAATTCCAACCAGTAGTTTTAAAGTTATGCTCTGGACAAGGAAAAGAAACAAAGGGCAGTAACTCTGTAATAAATCAAGATGGAGTTATGGTTCTTGTGCACTGCACTTTCTCTCAATGTGCTGGACCATTGTATGAAGTTATAATGAATTCCAACAATTAGTCTTCATATAAGTTAAGGTCTGGACAAAAGAAAGCAATGGAAAAGTAATAAAGGGCAATAACTCTGTAATTACTTTAGATAGAGTTATGGTTCTTATGCACTGCACTTCCTCTCAATGTGCTTGACCATTGTATGTAGTTATATTGAATTCCAACCATTAGTCTTCAAGTTATGGTCCGGACAAAAAAAAAGGCAATGGAAAAGCATCAAAGGGCAATGACTCTGTAATTACTTTGGATAGAGTTATGGTTCTTGTGCACTGCACTTCCCCTTATTGTGTTTGACAATTGTATGAAGTTGTTTTGAATTCCAACAAGTAGTTTTCAAGTTATGCCACGGACAAGGAAAAGTAACAAAGGGCAATAACTCTATAATTAGTCAAGATAGAGTTATATTTCTTACGCACTGCACTTCCTCTCAATGTGCTTGACCATTGTATGTAGTTATATTGAATTCCAAAAATTAGTCTTCAAGTTATGCTCCGGACAAGGAAAATGCAACGGACAAAAAAAAAAGCAATGGAAAAGCAACAAAGGGCAATAACTCTGTAATAACTTTAGATAGAGTTATGGTTCTTGTGCACTGCACTTCCCCTTATTGTGTTTGACAATTGTATGAAGTTGTTTTGAATTCCAACCAGTAGTTTTCAAGTTATGCCACGGACAAGGAAAAGTAACAAAGGGCAATAACTCTATAATTAGTCAAGATAGAGTTATGTTTCTTACGCACTGCACTTCCTCTCAATGTGCTTGACCATTGTATGTAGTTATATTGAATTCCAAAAATTAGTCTTCAAGTTATGCTCCGGACAAGGAAAATGCAACGGACAAAAAAAAAGCAATGGAAAAGCAACAAAGGGCAATAACTCTGTAATAACTTTAGATAGAGTTATGGTTCTTGTGCACTACACTTCCCCTTATTGTGTTTGACAATTGTATGAAGTTGTTTTGAATTCCAACCAGTAGTTTTCAAGTTATGCCCCGGACAAGGAAAAGTAACAAAGGGCAATAACTCTGTAATTAGTCAAGATAGAGTTATGGTTCTTGTGCACTGCACTTCCCCTCAATGTGCTTGACCATTGAATGTAGTTATATTGAATTCCAACTATTAGTTTTCAAGTTATGCCCCGGACAAGGAAAAGTAACAAAGGGCGATAACTCTGTAATTAGTCAAGATAGAGTTATGGTTCTTGTGCACTGCACTTCCTCTCAATGTGCTTGACCATTGTATGTATTTATATTGAATTCCAACTATTAGTTTTCAAGTTATGCTCCGGACAAGGAAAATGCAACGGACGTCTGGACCGACCGACCGACCGCCCGACCTACCAACCGACCGACCGACCACCGAGTGACTCCTATATACCCCCCCAAACTTCGTTTTTGGGGGTATAACAAAAAAATAAAAAAAAGCATTTTATTCAAATCACTATATTTGAAATGTGGTACAGACAAATCAATTGAGATTGCAGGTTGAACATAAAAAAACCCACATTTTTAGTATGACAATTTTCTCCCATTTCTTTAATTTATATAGGAGGAAAAATATTTAAAGTGCTTCTGAACTCCTTATTAAACAGCATATTTGTTAGCAAAGCTCTATGAATGACAAAAAATATGTAAAATACATGACTTTTGACATTTCCTCAATGAAGAGTTGACTGGCATAAATAAAATAAAAAAGTACTCCTAATGCGTCTCAAGTCTTTTGAATATTAATAAAAAAGATTCACATGTTTCCTTACAAAGTTAATAATGCACATTTCAAATATAAGTTGACATTAAAATAATTTGTTTCTAAAACATAACCTTTCAAAATGAGCTGATAGGAAACATGTGTTCTTCTAAATTAAATATCAGGCTTTTTATTCATATGTATCAATAACAAAAGTCAACTTTAATACTTTCCGCATTCTGAGACTAAACTTAGCGAATTTCAAATTAACGAGTTTATAGAAGAGAAGACGAACAAAAACTCCAAAAGATACGGAGTTTGTAGAAGAGAAGACAGACAAAAACTCCAAAAGATACGGAGTTTGTAGAAGAGAAGACGGACAAAAACTCCAAAAGATACGTGTCACTCACCTCCTGTCACTACATATTTGTTTATAATTTGTATAGCTCGAACATCATGTGTATGTTGATTGTGAACTAATGTTCCCACCCAATCCCGCCAGTCACTGTTTTCACGTGCAGCTATATAGTTGAACTGCACGACACTTGAGTCTATACCTGAAGACACCACAATATTCTCAGTCGAATCCACCGCCAGGCAATATACATCTGCTTTGTGACTCTGTATACTCTATAATTATAGTATGTATATACACATGTTAGGATGTTTTATTATTTACTGAAATCATACACATTGATAATATAGAAAACTGACTTACGCATCCAAACAGGCCTCTGTGGCAGAGCGATGTCAAAAGTCACTCGTTACTTACAGATGGAAGTTTATGACTATTTAGGTGTTGGCTTATCAGTAATACATATGGGCACACAGTAGGCGGCCTGGCCTCTCCTTAGCAGGAAAGCTGTCAAGCTGCCATACCACTCGGTTCAGTTTTACGTCGCACCAACACAGTATATGTAATATGGTGACTTTCTATGTCATATGGTGACTTTCCAGCATAACTTTTGTAGAAAGACCTTAGGTTCCCTTCCTTGCATTATTTCAGACACAACAGGGCACTTGAGTAAAACCACATGACGTTTCGTAAGCTAGCTGGGTAGGTTCCTCACATAAACGAATCTAAAGTCCGTTTTGAGATTCACACGCACATGGGATAAGTGAATTGAAGTCATCAACCTTAACCACTAGGCCACAGACACCCTGTCATACCAACTTTGTGACTAACAATAGCATCATATATGGTGTTAATGCTCATCTGATGTTGCGCTCTGCAGGTTGTGTCATGGTTGGGGTCATTTGTACCAAGTAATTTAAAAATCTTTGAATTGTCAATAAGCTATTGAGCGAACATGAGAAATAGATGTTTTAACATTAGACCATTTTTTTTAGTGTGACCCTGACATTGAGGGTAGTGATATGACTGTTGTGCTCTGCACATGGTGTCATATGGTGATCATTCCTGCCAAGATATCTAAAAAACATTGCAATGCAGCTGTTTAAATACATGTATTATGGAGCGGACACAAAATGTAAACTTTTTAACACTTGACCTTAAACTGTGACCTTGACCTTGGGGGTAGTAACCCAATTATTGTGCTCAGCACATCCATAATAGTGATCACTTGTACCAAGTTATTTACAAAGAATTTCAGCGGTTTAAAATTTATAGAGCAGACACAAAATGTAGACATTTTTACGCTTGACCTTTAAGTGTGACCTTGACCTTGGGGGTAGCAACCCAATTTTTGTGCTCTGCACATCCATAATGGTGATCACCTGTGCCAAGTTATTTCAAATTTTATTTAGCGGCTTTAAGTAATGAAGCAGACATGAAAGTGTAAGGAACGACAGAGGGGCAGACAGATGGACAGACAGGTGGAGGCCATTCCTATAATCCCCTCCCAGCTTTGCGGAAGGGATTAAAAATAGGTATTATCCAAATATATAGCTTCAGAATAATGCCCCTTTGACAACAGCACCTTGTCATGATAAGTGTTCCTTAAGAGTATAGCAATTTATATAAAATGAACAAAATGTCTGCATTTAATTCTTATACCTGTAATTCAATGACATTTCCTTTACAATAAAGATAATGTTCAGCAGTTATGTTCAATTATTATTCAGAAAAAAAAAATGTTGTGTCGAAATATTCGCACAGTTAGTAAAATCTTAGCTCAATTTACTGAAAAAATTTAATATTAAGGATGAAGAAATAAAATTGCATTGCACTTGTAAAATTGACATTTACATATCGTACCTAAATAATGACTTAAATTCAATATATTTATTACTGAATGCTAATAAAGAAATGATAGTAAAGAACTAAGTGACACTATGACACACTAGGGAACGTGCTACAATAAAACCCATTGTGGTTACGTTACAGAGTTTTTTAAGACAGATAAGATTCCCAGCCTAAGAGGCCCTGATTTTCTATATGGCACATACAATAAAGCAGTTTGATTTCTGAAAAATATTTTTTGTGCCTCGCTTGTAAGGAAGTTAACCTAGCATCAAGTTAGTTTTATCTCTTTACCGGCACATATAGGTTTGAAAATTTTGCTTCTTGTTACTACATGTAGTAGTACAAGTTAAAAATATCTGAAAACCCTGAATTTAGCATTTTTTCAGTTGGTTTCATATAGAACAAGAATTTGTAACAGAGTTACCAACGTCCCCCGCCTCGGGAAGTTTTATATGAAGCATAAAATTGTGCTATTTCAAAAGATTGAGGTACGGATCTCAGGACATTCAGTCCAAAATTATGATCAATGCTAGATCTGCAAATGCAACAATAAATTTGTTAAAAAAATAAAATGAAACACAGAATTTAAAAATCTATCATGTTAAGCTTTGACCTCTAAGTGTGACCTTGACCTTGGAGGTAGGGGAGCAGGTGTTGTGCATGACATAACGTCTTATTATTGAGACTATTTGTGCCAAGTATTTTCAAAGTCCCTTAAACTATGAAGAAGTTAAGGATTGGACACAAAATATACCCTATAACAGACTATGTAAATCTTTGACCTCTAAGTGTGACCTTGACCTTGGAGGTAGGGACACAGATGTTATGCATGACATATCATCTAATCATTGTGACTATTTGTGCCAAGTATTTTCAAAATCCCTTAATCTATGAAGAAGTAATGGATGGGACACAAAATATACCAAATAACAGACTCTGTTAACCTTTGACCTCTAAGTGTGACCTTGACCTTGGAGGTAGGGGTGCAGGTGTTGTACTTGACATAACGTCTTATTATTGTGACTATTTGTGCCATTATTTTCAAAAATCCCTTGAAATATGAAGAAGTTCTAGATCCGACACAAAATATACCCTATAAACAGACTATGTTAATTTTTGACCTCTAAGTGTGACCTTGACCTTGTTTTAGGTAGGGATACAGGTGTTGGGCGCTTGGGCACAATCCTCTTATTATAGTGACTATTTGTGCTAAGTATTTTCAAAATCCTATGATCTATGAAAAAGTCATGGACCGGACACAAAATATACCCTGTAACAGACTATGTTAATATTTGACCTCCAAGTGTGACCTTGACCTTGAAGGTAGGTGACTGGTTTTTGCGCATGACATTGTCTAATTATTGTGAACAATTATGGCAAGTATTTACAAAATCCCTTCATAGATAAAAAAGACAATGTTGGCAACCTTGAATGAGCAAGTGCGACCTTGACCCTGGAGGTAGGGGTCTGGTTGTTGCACATGACACATCGTCTTATTATAACAAACATTTGTGCCAAAGTATTTCAAATTCCTTTCATAAATGACAAAGTTAAGGACCGGACACGAAAGTGTGACGGACGGACTTTCCAACATTTTGGGTTTAGGGGCTATTTTTTTTGTTATTTTCTTTGTTTTCTTAAGGGCTACTAGCCCATAAACCCTTTGATCACGGAATGAACCTATTGTTCTCTTTTGTTCTCTTTACTGTTACATAGCCCCTAAACCCAAAATGTTTGCTTGGACAGACGGACAGACAGCTGTCCGCCGGATGGACAGAGCCTATTTTTATATCCCCCTTTTTTCTTCGAAAAGGCAGGGGACAAAAACAGTACTTTCAGGATTCGAAAAAACCTGAACTTCAGGCATATGCCTGAAAACTTGTACCCATGGTAGTATGTGCCGAAATAAAAATCATCCACCTCTCTGGACACAAATCTTCCATCATTTTGAAAATTTTTATGCACTAATTGCAAAGAGCAATATCATAGCTCTTTCTATACATAATTGTTGTACAAGTAAATTTGCATCTGATATACAGCTAGGCTGGGCAACCTAGAAATTTTTCCATTAATAATGAGCTAGAACAACCCAAACTTTTGTCACTAGTCAAGTCAGGCAACCAGGAATTTTGACATTATGGTAGAGCTGGGTAATGCAATCAGGAATTTGGCCATTACTATGGAGCTAAGTCAGCCAGCAAGATTTTGACAATTACTATAGAATTAGGTCAGTTAACCTGGAATTTGGACATTACAGTAGAGCTAGTTCAGACAACCAGAAATTTGGCCATTACTATCTAGGCTAGCCACTAGTTAAGAGCTAGATCAGACAACCAGACTTTGGCAATTACTATAGAACTAGGTCAGACAACCAGGAATTTGGCAATTACTATAGAACTAGGTCATGCAACCAGGAATTTGGCCATTACTATAGAACTAGGTCAGGCAACCAGGAATTCGACATTACTATAGAACTAGGTCATGCAACCAGGAATTCGACATTACTATAGAACTAGGTCATGCAACCAGGAATTTGGCCATTACTATAGAACTAGGTCAGGCAACCAGGAATTTGGCCATTACTATAGAACTAGGTCATGCAACCAGGAATTTGGCCATTAATATAGAACTAGGTCATGCAACCAGGTATTTGGCCATTACTATAGAACTAGGTCAGGCAACCAGGAATTCGACATTACTATAGAACTAGGTCATGCAACCAGGTATTTGGCCATTACTATAGAACTAGGTCATGCAACCAGGAATTTTGTCAGTTCTATAGAACTAGCTCAGACAGTCAGGAATTTGGAAATTACTGTAGAGCTAGGTCAGACAAACAGAAATTTTGTCACTACTACAGAACAAGGTCAGGCAACCAGAGGTTTTGGCAATTACTATAGAACTATTTCAGGCAACCAGGAATTTGGCCATTACTAAAGAACAAAGGTCAGGCAACCAGGAATTTGGCCACTACTCAGGCAACCAGGAATTTGGCCACTACTAAAGAACAAAGGTCAGGCAACCAGGAATTTGGCCACTACTAAAGAACAAGGTCCTACAACCAGAAATTTGGCCACTACTAAAGAACAAAGGTCAGGCAACCAGGAATTTGGCCATTACTATAGACCTAGGTCAGGCAACCAGGAATTTGGCCATTACTATAGAACTAGGTCATGCAACCAGGTATTTGGCCATTACTATAGACCTAGGTCAGGCAACCAGGAATTTGGCCATTTACTATAGAACTAGGTCATGCAACCAGGAATTTGGCCATTACTATAAAACTAGGGTCAGGCAACCAGGAATTTGGCCATTACTTATAGACCTAGGTCATGCAACCAGGTATTTGGCCATTACTAATAAAACTAGTCCAGGCAGCCAGGAATTTTGCCACTTCTATAGAACTAGGTCAGGCAACCACGAGTTTTGTCAGTTCTATAGAACTAGCTCAGACAGTTCAGGAATTTGGAAATTACTGTAGAGCTAGGTCAGACAAACAGAAATTTTGTCACTACTACAAAAACAAGGTCAGGCAACCAGAGGTTTTGGCAATTACTATAGAACTAATTTCAGGCAACCAGGAATTTGGCCATTACTAAAGAAACAAAGGTCAAGGCAACCAGGAATTTTGGCCACTACTCAGGCAACCAGGAATTTGGCCACTACTTAAAACAAAAGGTCAGGCAAACCAGGAATTTGGCCACTACTTTAAAGAACAAGGTCCTGACAACCAGAAATTTGGCCACTACTAAAGAACAAAGGTCAGGCAACCAGGAATTTGGCCACTACTAAAGAACAAAGGTCAGGCAACCAGGAATTTGGCCACTACTAAAGAACAAGGTCCTACAACCAGAAATTTTGCCACAATAGTAATCATTTTGGAATGTGGGTTACAAGAATGTTTGCCCCAGTTATAAACAGAGGCTCGACTATAAAGCAATTGACCATCTATATATATTTTCAAACCAGAGAGCCCAAAATTGTATTGGAGCAGACTAGAATATGAGAAATTATAATTCCAGTATGGAGGTACTTAAGACAGAAAGGGATTTCGCAACTTTTAAAAGTCTAGCACAGACAAATGAGAATTTTCCATTAATATTACAGAGCTAAACAAGCCTACAAGTCTACTCTTTTTTATGATCTATATTTGAGCCGCGTAACGACAAAACCAACATAATGAGGTTTGCTACCAGCATGGATCCAGACCAGTCTGATCAGGATCCATGCTGTTGGCTATTATTTTCTCTACTTGTAAAAGGGTTGGTAAGCGAACAGCATGCTGGTCGCAAACACACTATGATGGTTTTGTCATGACGCAGCTCATTTGTATATTAAAATTATTTTTTTTGTTACATGTATATACAGTTCCAAAGCAGGACAGACTTATTACATGAATCTAGTCTAGATAAAATAATAAATATACAATTAAATTATATTGCTAAATGAATGTAGAATGATACAAGTTTCATTTTTTTCCTAAAATTCACATCTAAAGTATGTCTGTTTATTACTAATATTTCCCGACTAAACCACAATAATAACGTCTGTAATTCTATAACATAGACATGCACAAAATTTAACAGTTGGCTAGATTTTAAGCTTCAGTAAACAAATACAATAAAACTATCATTACTGTACTTTTGTTTCTCTAAGAAGTGAAAGAACAACATGTCATCAACAACAACTAATATGAACTTCATTGAACTCCCTGTCTAGAACATTGACAGAGAATTCTGTCTGGAAAATTAAATTCCTTTCACCCGACCCAAAATAAAAAAGGAGCATTAAAAATGTAAACTTACATCCAAATCCAACAAAGGGCCCGTAAAGGGTTCCGACTAGGGTGGTTTTTTTCACAACCAGATAACAGCTGACTGGGGTGTTTTTTTTTTATTCTATGAATTTGATATCAAATGTCAGATACTTTTTTTTATATTTCATTCAAGAGTTTTTTTTGTGTTGTTTTTTTGTTGAGTTTAACGTTTTTCCAAAAACCCACTTTTTAAAAAGTCGAAAAGGCGGCTTTCCAGCATTTAAAAGGGGCAAATAACCTTTAGATGTCCCACGGATTATTTCAGGCCCTTTAAGAGGGACCCCCAATGCTTTATAAACTTCCTCACATGAAAAATTTTCCAAAAAACCCTGGGCAGGATTTTGAATCAAAAAAGTAGTGACGGATTTAAAAACAACCTTTTAAAAAAAAATCGGCCTTTCTGGCATTGAAAATTTTTATTTTTTAAAATCTTTGGCCCTTTGGGCAATCTATCCCTTTCAAACCCCGTTTCTGGCCATGAATGGCAAAAGATTAAAGGTCTGCTTGTTTTGCAGGGTAGGCCAAATACATTTTTTTGAAAAATTTTTTTAAAAAATGATTTAATGGTTTTGGGCCAGATGGAAGACAACAAAATCCATTTAAAAATATTTTGAGTGATTTCGGCATAAAGAGACCTTGATTACAAACATTTCCCGGAGCATAAAAAATTAAAGAATGGCTGTTTTCATAAAAAGGGAAAATTGCAAACCCTATTTAACTAAATTTGGAAAAAAAAAAAGGTCACCGTTGGGAAACCCAAAATGAATTTCACACTTTTAAAATTTTAAAAGGGCTTAAAAAAGGTTTTTTAAAAGCCTTAGAAATAAAGGTGCATAAAAAAAAAGATTTAAAAAAAGATGTCAAATTTTGGGGTTCTAACTCATCCAGGAATTACCTAGACAATTATCCTGACCAAGTTTGATGCCAATTGAGTCAAAAATGTGAGCACTACTCTAGAGTAATAACAAAGTTTGTCCATATTTGGGAGGTGCAACCTATTTTTTGACCCCAGGAGACCCATATTCAAACTTGACCTATAAATTTCAGACCAATTTCCTGAATATTTGGATCAAAACAGTAGCATCTTGAGTGTTAACAAGATTTGTCTATTTTTAGGCACCTGTGACCTAGTTTTTCATCCGAGATTACCCATGTTTAAACTCATTCGAGCAATTACCTAGACAAGCATCCTGACAAAGTTTGATGATGATTGAGGCAAAAATGTGACCACTAGAGTGTTAACAAACAAATGTGGACAGACAACAGAGCCCGGACATTCAATGATCCTAAAAGCTTACCCTGAGCTAGCTCAGGTGAGCTTAAAAAGGAGAAAATATAAAAACAATGTTTATCACAAAAATATAGCACAATAGCTACATTATTCACTATATTACCTTTATCAATGTGCCCTGTCGTCCATTCCAAAAACTTGTTTTTCCTCGTGAATCTCCACTCACAATTGTCATATCACTGAAAATTATCTTCAAATAATAACATTTCCCGCAAAAACAAAAAAGTTTTAAAAAATTTTTCTTTAAAAGGGGCGCACTGAAGGGCTGGAAATTTTTTTTCTCAAGATTTTGTAAAAATTTAATGTAGGGCTTTTAAATTAAAATTAAAAAAAGTGTAAAAAATTTTCCCAAACTCCCCTCCATTTTTCCCGGATAATCACTAATTTTGTAAAATGACCCAAAATTCAACAGCATTTAAATGCTTTTAACTCAAATTGGGCTGAAAATTACAGAAGAAAAGAGAACGTAATTTAATTCTAAGTATATAGTTTAATAATCTTTTGCGTACTTAGTGCCCTTGTTCATCTAGAATTTCAAATTTTTCATTTTTAGGCATTTGGACCTCAGTGGAGATCCTTTAAATCATGTGTTCCATTGTTGAAGGTATAGTGATAACTAAGAAAATGAAGAGAAGAGAAAACTTGCATGTACTAGTAGGATGATTTGATAAATAATTCTGCAAATTAAAAGATTACATAATAAAAGCAGTCAGTCAGACAGTACACTCAACTAATCTCAGTGCTTGATAATAGAAGAAAGCATATACAGGAATTTTTTTAATTCACAAAGGGGAATAATTCAGTAAGAACCTGTGATACAGTTACGTGTCTTGATAAATAACATAAATTATGATCATTAAGACGTGTAAAGATTCAAAATACCTTGTCCGAGAAATATGAAGAAATAATTCGGTGCAAATCAAAGTCTTAGATAATTATGTACAATTATAATTTAGAATACTTGTATGAAGTTTCAACCACATTCTGTCAGTAAATAAAGAGATTTTTTATCAAGTTACATGCAAAACCTTAACCAAAAGTGTTGTGTCCCACTTTTTTTTTCAAACAGTCAAAGTATTATGAGGAAATAAGATGAAACTTTTGGGATGACATTTAAGGGTAGCTTGAAAAATTCCTATATTCAATTAAAGTCTATAATTTTACAAAGTCAGTATTAAATCTTATATCAAGACAGTTTAATTATATATCAGACCTTTAATTTTTGTTAGAAATATAATTGCAAATCACAAATATATAGAAACATCTCAACTTGGTATTGTGACATCATTATACAATACCAACATGAATTTTATATTTTCTCATTATTTATTTGAGAATAGAAAAAAATATATGATAAGGTTAAGATTACACTATGACAGTTTTATATCAAAATTGAAATTATCCTATAAAGATCATGATTATAATATTTTTAAATGTTTTTATATTTTTTACATTAAGGGGGACAAAACCGAAACACAAATTTTCAAAAAAATACTTCCCTTTGGTTTAAGATTTACTTTAAAATTTAAAAGAGCGAAAATTTTATGAGCAAAAAAAAGTTTGATTTTAAAAAAATTTTTGGCGGTCCCCTAAAATTTCCCTAAATACATTCAGGGAATTTTGTTTTAAAATTTGACAGCTTAAAATAAATAAAATTGAAATTATAAATTTAGGTTTATTGGACCCGTTAGAGAAAAACATAATTTAAACTTCCAATTTCCAAAATTTTTGTTTAGAGTTTGGGAAATATTTCATCCCGGGAAAATTTAAATAATGATAGAAAATCAATGATCCCAAACCTTGTATTCCCTTTCCCCGGGAAATAAAAAAAACATACCTGTTGTGGGGAAAATGGGAGTCATCTACTTTCAGTGCTTGACAGAAAAAAAGGCATAACTCTGTAAAAAGTTTACTTAGAGTCCATCATGTTAGATAATCACAGAGGTTTCAACCCATTCCTTTCAGCAGTTTTGGAAATTTCAAACTTGAATGCAGAAACCAAAGTGTGTTGGCCTACTTGGGTCACGACCATGTTTCTTCATATGACACCAGTACTGGTTGGTTCCAGGAAGGGGACTCGAAAGTGATTAATATAAGTTGCAAGAACTTGTTTCACAATCAAGCTTAAATAAATATGTTTAAACCAAAGTGCGTTGGTAAAGCTGACACAAAGGTGAATACAACAGCTTTCCCTATGGGAAATATATTGGTTGAGCGTAAAAACTGACAAACAAAACTCAACCAGACTGAACATTCCACATTACCTTAAACAGATCACAGACCAGATGACTGTTTCTTTATTCTTGTCAGTTCTTGCCACCGTGAGGCGCTGCATGGCTTTACCTGACGATACACTCCATATTCTGATGTTATCAATTCCACCTGTCACGATTAGATCTTCTCCAGAATGCCAAGATATACATAATATACGACCTAAATATACATACAATGTTAATTCAAAACACTAAATAATACTATAAACAATATTCTGTTATATTTATAGAAAATAAAATACTGCCCTGCCTTTCTTCAATTAAAATTCTTATAACTATGGTCAAAGTTTAATGCCCATATTTCTAAATATCATAAATCCCGTAGAAAAAAGAAGCAACAACACAAAAAATATCAGTAATATCAATGCTTGCTTCCCAGTGGTGATTGAGCAAAAAGCATGGCCTTCCATGTGAAAACTAGAAAATTCTTTTTTTGACTTCTATGACCTTGCCTCAATCAACCCAGAATCCTACAAAAGGGTAGAAATCTAAGATATCAGTAAATAGCTGTATGCAGGAGAGTGTGCTTGACTCATCTCAGTGCTTGATAGTAAAACACGAGACTGGATTATGTAGAATTTGTATAAAAAGTTTAAATAAGGCCATAATTCTGTGAAAATCCATGTAAAAGTTATGTGTCTTAGGTAGTGAAATGCTATTATGCTCTCAAGTAAGTGTGTGAAGTTTCAATCCATTCCTTTCAGAAGTTTTGGAGATAGCAACTAGCATGCAAAAACTTACCCAATGTGTGACACCAATGACTGGCCTGGGTGAGTGCAATTATAGCTCTCTGTATTTTTTAATTTTTTCAAAATAAGGGTGCTATGAGACACAGTAAGAGTTCTGGAAATGGGGGGTGGGGTAAACATTTTGGGAGCATTAAAACAGTATGTATAGGATTTTAGTTTAAATCTTATTTTAGACCTTTGACATCTCAAAGCACAAGCTATTAGCAAGAATTTTGTGTGGATGTACTTACTGTCCTGAGAGTCAAACCTGGTCAGGTATTCTAGAACATTATATTCTGTATCCAACAACACAACACATCCATCTTCTGTACCAGCCTACAATAAAATAGTATCAACATCATGATATTTACATTCTAACTGTTGAAACATTTAAAAATTACATTTACTGAATGGGAAGGCCAATTATCAATGATGGCTTTGATTTTACATGTATATACCATTCAACTAAAAAAAAACTTGGACAAGACCTCTTATTCATTCTTGTCTAAATAACCAATTTTCATAAACATTTTCAGTTAAAAAGGGAAATAACTCAGGATAATGTCCCTTGCCTTACAACTTTGCATTGTCATAATATTCATGAAATAAAAGTATTAAAAATTTCATGTTGATACCTTTCATAGTTTTAAAATCATTCTACTTATTAAGCAATTTTGACAAAAATCAAAGCTAAAGGGGTAATATTACCCTGAAAAATTAGCTTTCAGAATTATGCGCCTTGTCTTACAACAGCACCTTGTATTGATATAAAATGTTTGAATAAAGGGCTACATTAAAGTGTTTGCATGACAATGACAATGCCAATAACAATCATAATAGCTCAACCTTTTCTTCGAAACAGATCACCTAAAAACATACTTTTCTTTGTGGAATGTTTGATCACTGTTATAAGATTACAAATGCCTGTCCCCCTTTCAATTTGTTAATGAGATAACAATTACTGTGTCCATCAATTTCAATTTATTTTTTTTATTCACTCAGATCATACAAACATGACAACATGAGGTAAAAATACAATTACATAATAAATAAATGAGGCTTCAGAATCAGACAGTATCAAAATAACATGATATATAAATTGTTAACATAAATATTGCGGGAGAGTCAGTATTAAAACAAATACTTCAATAGGGTTCTCCACAGCATACAATTTATACAATTTTTGGCTCATTTGAATCTTAATATAATTTCTTTAATAAATAAACAAAGTTTTTTGTAATCTGGAATGTTAACATCAGTGTTCATAAAAAGATCAATAGAATGTATATTATGTTTCTGTAAATAGTTATGTTTCAAAAAACGTTTCCTGCTGTTATCAAAACAAGGACACTCAAAAATATAATGAAATTCATCACCAATTGATCTATCACACAGTGTACAGACACGCCTGTTAAGTTCGATGTTGTTCCAGCTTCCGGTTTCTACTGGCAATTTGTTATTTCTTGTTCTAAATTTTATCATGTATTGTAAAAAGTTTGATGGAGTTTTTACAAGATATGTTTCAAAACAAAAATTATGTTTGAATAATCTATAATTTATACATTTACTAGAATTCTCAATATCAGAATACCACTCATTTAAAAATAAATCTGATAATTTTTGTTTGACTGACATCGTTAACCATTTATGGTTATGAAATTCATGGTTATGCCAAATGTTATACAGACCACATTCATACAAAATATTCTGAACAAATTTTATCCACTGAAATCTTAATCTAGATACAGTCTGGGAGTTATTAAAATTATTTAACAAAATACGATATATCAAACACGGTAACTTGTTCTGTTGTGGTATGACTAAGTCTGACCAATATGATATAATTCTACATTTAATTTCAATAGATAGTGGTTTAACACCAGTTTCACCATACATCATACAATTTGGTGTACTTGACTTTAAACCTAGGATATATTTTAAAAATTTAAGCTGTACTCTTTCAATACAATCAATATTACCAAAACCCCATATCTCACATCCGTACAGTAGGACAGGTTTTACAATTTTGTTAAATAAATCTATTTGCATGTCAATTGGCAATTCTAACATTTTACATTTTTTTATAAGACTATACATAGCTTTGGACCCCTGTTTCACGATAGATAATTTTGCTTTGAAAAAGGAACCACTTCTATTGAAAAGAATACCAAGATACTTATACTCGTCTACAACTTCTAAAAGTTCATTTCCGTAAGTAAAATTATATGACATGCGTCGTCCACTTGTAAAAACCAAAATTTTAGTTTTTGTTGTATTGAGCGTAAGTTTCCAGGTATCACAATAGTTTTTATAAATATTTAAACCATGTTGTAAGTCATCTTTTGTTTCAGCAAAAATTACAGTGTCATCTGCGTACAACAAAAAGAACAGTTTTACATAGTTAAAAGCACTATCCTCTAAATCGCGACTGTTACATGTTACACCGGAAACATTATTGTTACTAAAATATTCATATAAATCATTTAAATACAATGAAAACATAATCGGTGAAAGATTTTCACCTTGACGTACTCCAATATTACATATGAAATAATCAGACATATTACCATTAACACGTACACATGACTTTGCATTTTCATATATGTTTTTAATTGTGTTTATAAATTTTCCATTGATATTATATGACAATAATTTTGACCATAAACCTGGTCTCCAAACTTTGTCGAAGGCACATTTTAAATCGATGAAAGCACAAAACAATTTCTTTTTACTATTTCTGAGCAAATCGACAAGAGTATTTAATACAAACATGTTATCAATAGTTGAATAACCTTTTCTAAAACCAGCCTGATATTCATTTATAATATCATGATTAGATGTAAATTTTTGCAGTCGGATATTTAAAACAGCAGTATACAATTTCCCTAAGCAGCTAAGAAGTGTAATTGGTCTATAATTCGATGGATCAGTCGCATCCCCTTTATTTTTGTAAATAGGATTTATAACACCAATTGTCCAACATTTTGGAATACAACTTTTGCTAAAAATAATATTAAAAAGTTTAACATATATGGTCTTGAAGATATGGAATGACTCTTTTATATGTTCGTTTACTATACGATCAACACCGCAAGCTTTATTATTCTTAAGTGATTTAATAGCGTTTTCTATTTCATCTATAGTAAAATCCCTATTCAGTTCTTCACATATGTCATTCGGATGAATATCATTTGGATTTTCATTTTCATATACATTACTATCAAAATTTATATCTTTAAAATATTCGTATACTTCGTTAAGGTCCGCGCTACAATTGGAAACTTTTTTACCATTCAATATTTTCCAGTATTCTTTGGGATTAGATTTACCCAATTTCCTTAATTTTTCAATGTTATGTATTTTATATTCTTTATAACTTTGTTTTAATGCATTTTTGTACTCATGACTTTTAAATTTCAAATTTGTTTTGTTTTCATTTGTTTTCCTCAGTTTATACAAATATTTAGCTCTGTGAAAATCACGTCTGGTAGTTTTACATTTATTATTAAACCAATGTTTAGAAGCAGAATTGTTACTTTCTTTATTATGTTTTGTTTTAAATGTACCAAAAGATTTACAGGCGCTTTCATGAAAAATATCACCTATTTTTGACACTGCATCATTTAAGTCATCTGGAGAAAAAGAATCATTATTCTCAATATTGTTTAAAGCGTTCATTATATCATTTACTCTGGTCGTATCGATGTTCTTAACAAAATCTTTTGCCTTTCCGGCGTTCCATAATCTAACATTCTCATTTGATACGGTTTTATTTTGTATATGATCCTCAGAATTAAAAAACTTAAAAGAAAGCGATATAGGATTATGAACGTCTGATAATAATGGACAGTATTCAAGAACATTCATGTCAACAATAGATCTAAATACATTTGACGAACACACAAAATAATCTACGGTGCTCACATTTTTACAGGTCACTGACCCCAGAAAATCTCCCTTAGTTCTACCATTTAAAATATACATATTATTATACTGTAAAAAATCAATAAACTTGTACCCAAAATTGTTAACATGTACATCTTGATTATTTCGTCTGAGACAAACATTTGTATCATGGAAACAGTTCATATCTGACTGAATATCATAAAAAATATCATCCAGTCCATTTTCATGAAAAATATCGAAATCTAAATCTGTGTAGTCATGCAATAATTTAGTTCTACTATTCCAATCACCAAACATACAAACGTGTGTATATCTATTTGAAAAATAATTAATATCGTCTTGTATTTCAGAAAAAGGATCATCGATCGATACTCTGAATTTTCGGGTGGCACATATACTACACCCTATTTTAGTAATTTTATTTGACAAGCAGAACCAGAGTACATGTTTACTTTTACCCTCGAGTACATGAACAAATGGTTTTAAATTAGATTTTACAGCTAAGCCAATGCCGCCTGACTTCCTTTTTGATATTTCTTTTCTATGTTTAATGTAAACATTATAATTTTCAAAACATACTGTATCTAAACTATCTGTTTTTGTTTCTTGGAAACCAATTATGTCAAAGTTATTCAAAGTATCGTAAAATTCTGGGTATATCTGTTTTGATGATAAACCACATACATTTAAAGATAAAATACTTATTTTTCTGAACATTTCATTATTTCTGTCATTTTCAAATTCTAAATTAGTGTCACCACTCTGTTGATTCACGTGATTATAACTGTTACTATTTTCTGTAGAGATATTACATGTAAAAGTCTCTCCCTGACTGTCCTATCGTGCGTTGTTCGACTGCATGGCTGACTGAGCGACAGTATTGTTATATGAAGATTGATCATCTAACTGTATATGCACGGAGTTTCCGTGACTCCGTGACCCCTCTGATTGAAGACGTGCTGATACAGAATTGTCACGTGATCTCTTGTTTAACGCTTCTTCCAATGGGGAATTTGCTTTATGCTTATTCCTCACAGGTGACTGTTCACGTGAATCGCAATTCATTAACGAAGCGAATCTATTTGGGGTTGCAAAGTTGATATTTCCCCATGGGTTGTTGTTACTAGCTGTGCGAAAACTAGGAGAACGTTGTCGTGGTCTGCTTGTTCTCTCGGGGACATGTTGGCTATTACCGTTAAAATTGGAGCGAGCAGGACATAGTGTATCTGTAACTGGGTCATAAAGTCTATTGTTGACATACAATTTATCTCTCACAATAAAACACTTGTTATTTTTGTTTTGTTTGTAACGACGTAATACTGGAAATAGCTCCCTTCTGCGTGTCTCGATTTCTGGGGGGTATTGTTCGTTAATATATGTACCTTTCTTTTTCATGTTCAATTTGACTCCGGCTGATTTAATAGTATCTCTGTCATTTGTGTTCACAAATTTTGCAACGATTGGGCGGGGTTTGTTTAAATTTCTGTTGGCGCCCCCTATTCTGTTTACATATTTGAACTGAACATTGTCAATGTTTATATTTTTGTCTGGGTTAACGGTATACTCATTAATGATGTGTTCAGTCAAGAAATTTCGCAGGCTTTCCTCACAATTTTCATCGTTTGTTTCTTTTATACCTATAAAAAGGAGGTTATCACGCATACCGTTACATCTTAAATTTGAAACTTGTTCATTTAGTTGTGTACTTATTGTGTTCAATTGCTGCACTTCAGTTTTTAAATCTTTGTTTTCTCTTTGTAGGGCACTTATAGAGGAGCTACATGTATACTTGTGTTCATTGAAATTATCTGACAGGTCACTTATGGTCTGACAAAAAGTTTCCATGTCGTTCATTTGTGTTTTCATTTCATGATTTTCACTTTTTAAGCTGGATACTTCGTTTCGAAGGTGCGATATATCATTTTGGATTGTATTTAATTTAGATACACTCTTCTCTATGGATTGTAAACGTGAGTCCATTTTGTTGACAAGTTCTATTAGTTTGGTTTGCATGTCAGTGTTAGTTGCAGTTGACGGGGGTGAAGCTGGTTGTAGATGCTGATATGTCTGCGATCCTGGATACGGGGGTGCGGGAAAGGGTGGAATTAAGAACGGATACCTGTATTGTCCATTTGGAAATTGTTCGGATGGTTGGTTGTTCAAAGGCTGATAGCATGGCGGTAAATATAAATCTTGATTTAACACTTGCTCATTTGAACTTCTGTTATCTTTGTTACCTTTTCCGAGTACCCCACCCGTCGTTTCACTGGTCTCCTTGTTTGGTGTTTGATTGCTACAGTTTGTTGCTTTACCTCTTTTATTGCTACCTGTACTTGACATTGTTAATGATTACACATCTGTTTACTAATATCACTTTATAAATAACACTTTATAATCCTTTATTTTTGATATTTTGAAAAAATTTCTGTGCACAAATTCAAAAGACCGCCATATTTCCGAGCCTCGTTTTCGATAACCTCCCATCTGACTGACAATTAAGCAAGCATTCTGCGTTATATTTAATCAAAGTCATTGAAAACAAAAATCAGGAAAATGTTTAAAAACATTACTTTATACTTACCGCAAGCCTGGTTCCAGCAGAATTGGAAGCCAAACACCAAACTGGTCCAGCATTTGAATGACAAGATTTCTGCAATATGAAAATCATACATTATAACTTTCAGATATCTTTAAATGATAACAAAATGTGGGGAAGGTTCCTGATGGTATTCAAACTCACAGCGATAAGGTATAAGTGTTTTGAGTGACCCTTTTTTATCATAATATTGTAAAAATGATGTATTCTGATGTGTTAAACAAATGTTCTATAGTATTGATTAAAACTGTACTGATGCAGTTACCTACCTTTGTATTTAGTTTGACAAGATCTATTTCTCTGATATGACCATCAAGGCCAGCTGTGAACAATCTGGTTCCCTGCCACACCAGATCTTCTATAGACTGATCCTCTATGCCAGGAATAATCTGCAGTAAAAATATATACATGATATATAAAATTATTCATAAAGGGCCTACTCATAAACCTTTATTTTAGAATTCTCTTAGGATGGGAACATTAGTATGTATCAATGCTGTAGGACTAATCCTATCAAAACCAAAAATGCTAGTTTGACAGCTAAACAGTCATCAAATTTAACACTGGCCTGGTGGCCCATGGCCAGTGTAAGTTCGTTGGGGTCAGTGTAAATTTTAAGAAAAGTTTAGTTAAATATGTAGTAGAATAAATTCAAAACTGGAATTCTGGCCAGTAAATTCAAAATCTTAAATTCATTGACTGGCTAAACCAATGAAAATTGTTTGTTTTTTTGCTGTGACGGTAAACCGAGGTTCTGTTCTGTCTCTGACATCATTTATTTATATAATAAAATAAAATTTCATTTCAATTTAAAATGATAGCCTTGGATGCTAGATACAAGACTGAATCCTGAGACCAATTAATGATTGAACAAGTTCCTAAAATGAACTGAAAGATCAAGGCCCAGATGCTTAATTTGCTCACCTTATTTTGTTTTTAAATTTATTTTCATATGTCCATATTAAATTAAAGAATTTTAATATCATATAAAGTGCTATACAGGCATAACAAAGGTAATGAAATAATAAATTAGAAACTGAATCAAATACTTCAAACAAGCAATCATTTATCATTTGAATAGTAAAAGATCAACAGTTACACTGCTTACAATGTTCTAAACTAAGACTGTAAATATTTCTTTTTAACACTATTTCAGCTCAAGTCCTGTTTCTATATCTCTCTATTAACCCATTATGTGATATACACGCCTTTTAACGCCTTTTTTCACACCCCCTTTTTGTAGTCTCAAATGGTGAAAAAATGCCTTATTTAGGCCCCCAACACTTGTTGTTAAAAAAGTGACCACTTTTTCTGCGCCCCCCCCCCCCCACCAAAAGATACATCAGGGGGTTGCCAGAAGGGGGATGTGCCCCCTTCTGTTTGGGGGGTTTGAAGGGGGGGCTCAATCCCCCTCATCGCCAAGAAAATTTTGGACGAGGCTATAAATGACCCCAGATTGATCATAAGGTAACGTTTAACCAACACTGAAAAGCATTTGACTCTATCTCAATCCATTGAGAAGTTGCAGAACTTTGAAATCAATTTTGATGGAAAAAATCAACGCAAAATAGTGATTTTTGGCAATTTTGAGATGTCCCCTCATTGCCATGGTAACAGAAAATTTAAGACTGAGCATGTTGTTGCAAGGGCAATGGTCCAGTCAACATTTGTGCCAAGTTTGATTAGTGTTGAAGCAGTTTTTATAGTATTATAGAAATTTGAACTTGTAACAGGAGACTTTTCAATGAAAACAGCCATTTGACACAAAATGCTCATGAACTAATGGGTTAAAGAAATAAGCCACGACAGGAAGTAAAATAATAGTTACCTCCTCCTGGTACCAGCCGTCCTTTATACTCCATAGTTCAAGACTTCCATCACATCTGTACAATAATAAACATTAAATCATTACAATAACTTATTAAGTCTCTATTTTACATTCTTATCATCTTATGTACACTGTATGTCAAATGATCATAATCTTGTATATCTTTTTTTCTTTCTTTTGAAAGTTACAGGGCAATAATTACAGATCTTATAGCTTAGTCAGTTTTATTTTAGCTTTAATTTCTAAAACATTTTAAAACCATACCTTGATAAAGCCAATCTTTGCTTTGATGAATTGTATGACATACATTGTATTGATTTCGGTGTCCACTCAAAGAATCTAACATGATGAACTCGGAATTCACCCATTTTTGCAGTGTTCTCACCTGGAAAAGATCTACAATATCAACCAAATAACATACTTGAAATCAAAAGTCTTACTTGATAGAAGTGACTATGACTGATTTTTCTAAGGTAACATATATCTATTAATTCTAAATACAAGAAAATAAATTTCAGCTACCAATGAGTATGTCACAGTTAGGAACTGTTCACCATTTAAGGGAGCAGATGTATTAAATTAACCCAACTGGATAGCTCAGTAGGTCGAGTTGCGGATTGATGTCTTGAGGGTCCAGGGTTTGAATTGCGATCAGACTGCACATTTTTCTAACCATGTGACAATAACTTGTTACATAGCCTAAGTGGGTACTGTCTAGTACACATGTACACAGTCACTAAAAGATTTCCGCAAGACGACAATAACCCCAACAGCATAAGATAACAAGTTATACCGAAAATAGATAAAACCATGAATGATGTTTCCCAATAGCTAGTCTTCTTCGCAGATTAAGCTTTTAATGATTTTATGTTGCTATGAGCATGCCTTTCCCCATTTTCAAATTAAAAAAAAAAAAAACCCACAAAAGCAGCCAAAATAACAAAACTGTTTCAACTTCTGAAATTTTGCCCATGAAACTGTAAATTTAAAAGTGACATTTGATTTTTCTTAAAAATAATTTTCGACACAGTATCTTTTGTTAACATGTTAACGTACATTCAGCTACCATAAATACGTGTAGAGGCATTACTAAATCATGAATGTGATTCTTAATCGGCTATACTAACTCAGTAAATTGATCTACAATATAGATTTTCCACGTCGAGTCAATATTTATGAAATAAAAAAAAATGTTTTATTACTCTTTACAAAGTTTTTGTGTTGGAAATGTATCAAAGATTTCAAGAGCCTTTTTAAAACTGAAAACTTTGAGAAATTACGAAAACATCATGTTTTCCATGGGCGCAGACATATTGTTGTACCACACTGAATCTAGTAACCGGCTATGATTGGTTAAAAATTGTCCACGTGTTTATGCCAAACCAGGAAGTGCTTTCCCGCCAAATGTCAAACACGGACAGGTAAATTAACTAAAAAAAGTGTTTTCTGGAATAAATCATTTGCTTTATGATCCTATTTCATGTTATTAATGAGATTTTCACATTGAATGTAATATTAAAGTTGAAGGCAATATAGATATTAATTTACTAGACAGATCAAAAGTGCTGGTTTCACAGGTGTGCAAAAAAAGCAAAGTTAATAATACAGACTAATCATCAATTAAACTTAGCAGGAATACAAGGATTACAAGCAGAGCTGCATTACTGGTACTGGTACTGCAGTACGTACTGCAGCGATTTTGCAAGTACTGGTACTGATACTGAATTACTTTTACAAAATTTTGCTACTACTGGTACTGCATTACTGTCTTAAAAAGTGGTACTGTTACTGCATTACTAGGCAGTACTTTTGGTTTTGGTAAAAAAAAAGCATCATTTTTTCTCATAAAATAAAGCTGTAAATTACATTAACTATATTTTATTTTTGTGAAAAAGTAAGTTATCAAATCTATAGATAATTTGCTGCAATATTCATAGAATTCATCATTAAAAAGCCCCAAAGACTTTGAAAAAAAAATAAATTGAGACAATCGGCCTCAATAACTCTTTACCCTAAAATATCCTTATTAAAATCTTTTATTACTTTGTATTTACTAGTAAAAGAGCAAAATAAACGCTAATTGATTTCTTCTATTCTAAATAATCCCATTTCAAGTGAAAAAAGTGATACTGTTAGCACCATAAAAGGTTGTTATTTACTTTGGTATAAATTGAATAGAGGTGTGAAAGGCAACAAAAGACTCTTGTGTTTTAAATGAAAGATGTTTGCATTGTATTACAGTTGACTGGTTACTAAACAATTAGATATGACATGAATATATGTTGTAAATATTGTGTAAAAAGTATGTTAAAACTATAAAGTTGCAAAAATGTTATGTTAACTTTAAAGTAAATTATGATTTTATTTCTTTGCTGAATAATATTTGCAATTATTGTTTGACACTGTTCAATCGAACTTTGATGAATATATAAAAGTAATGGTACTAGTACTTAATTACTTCAACAAAAAAAGTACTGGTACTGCAGTATCGCGCTAAAATCTAGTACTGGTACTGGTAATGGTACTGCATAATTTGCCAAGTACTGGTACTGGTACTTAAGTACTACACCCTAAGTACTGATGCAGCTCTGATTACAAGATACAGAGTTTGATTAATAATACAGAATCCAGACCCTTAGATAAATTCAAATATGTAAATGAAAGTTAAATATCATTTACACAACATCACTAAAGTATCTTCATCACTAATGTCATGGTAATGTACAGGTAATATACATTTTGCGTTTTTCCATGTAGCAGGTCATAACATTGGTCAAAGTTGACCTATACACCTTATAAACAAAATCCTCTTCCAATACACATCAGATTTACAAGTGTGTGTCAACATTTTACTGATTTTAGCAAAGATCTCGAAGGGAGTCACTGGTTGAGTTAGATTAAGGTCGCTCACTTTGACCACTCGGCCCTTACTGCTTTGGGTTCAAATTCCGACAGAAATTTGGATTCTTTCATGTGAGGAAGCTATCCAGTTAGCTTATATTGGTGGTTCTAATTAAAATTGGACGCCCTTTCATGCCTGAAATAATGTACAGAGAGGCACCTGAGGTCTTCCTCCACTAGTAACACTGGAAAGTCCCCATATGACTTATACTGTGTTGGGGCAACATAAAACCCAAGCAAAAAAAAGATCTCAAATTCTACTAGAATAGTGTGTGCCTGAAACAGTTATCAGTTTCATATTGTTCTTGTTAGTAGAAATGTTAAAAAGGTTAATTTAGTTTGATTATTTTTACTGGTGCTTGAAACATTTATTAGTTTACAACCTAAACTTTAAAAACTGAGATGTAACACTTTATATTAGGATGGAGTTATGTTTCATAATGGCTCACACATGGTCTATGTCTGATTTGATTTAATATGTTGTTGCTACTTTTTTCATCATTTCTCAGTTGTTAGATTTTACTAAGTTACTAACTTACTTTCTCAGTGTTTTTTACAAGCATTTTTGGAATGGGTCCAGGACTGTTTGAATTGTGAAAATTAGCGCCATAATGCCGCCATTAGTTGTATATTTAGTCCTATTTCATACAAATTTAGCTGTTCAGTAGGGGAAAAGTCTAATTCATGTGATGGAAAATACTTGGTTCATGATTTACACATTAATTAAAAAATTCTCATAGTTAAATGTTTCTCATGATTTTTAAGTCATTGGCAATTTTTTTTTCAATTTCTACAGTTTGACAGCTGTGAATTTTTATCAAACTCTTGTGAAAAGAGATACCTTTTAGCTTTGTGCATGGGGCCCTATTTCTGCACAGGAAAAAAACAACAAAAAAACCAAACAGACAAACAAACACTGTTACTTGTTGCTTGACATCATTTCATTCTTCAGCTTTTTCTGTATAGGTGGATATATTACAGAGTGAACTGGTCAACATATTAATGTTTCCATGGAGTGAAATGCTCTTTGTAGTGTATAAATGTTGCCATTGTACTGATTATGAAAATAAGTTAACAATCTTTATATTATGATTCTGACGAAGGTTTGATAGAACAGAAACTCGTAGAGCATAAATAACTTCATCCAGCGCTCACCATGCGTTAACGTGTTACATATTTCTTCTGTGTCTTCTTATTTTTAACTTAAATTTTAGCTTTTTTCAACAATTGAGAAAATGATCAAATTTGAAGTGATTTCTTTGGTGACTACTTTGTCACATTAAGATTTAATATATGGTCAGTTTAGAAAATTTATCTAAATTTTTGATAATACAGATTTTTTTTTTTTATAATTAATTCTTCAAAGTAAGGTTATTGCCCAAATTTTCAAATATAATACATTTTGAAGAAGTGAAAAAATTTCTGATCTTTTTATAAAAAAAGTACAAAATTCTTCAAACACTATTTTCCAATTCCTGTTATTAAATTTAAAGTATTGAAATCATAATAAAAAGTTTTTATTTAAAAATACTTCAAAGGTCATTAAAAATTTAAGACAAAACAATACAGAAGTTAAGATTAAAGAAAGATATTATAATTTGACAGAAGTCTTGGAAATAGTTTCAGAATTTCGGTGTTAAATCAAAAATTGCGAAACAATGCAAACAGCTCTGACAGAGGTGATCAACTGATTAATTTTTCTGAAAGTTTTATATAAAACAGGTATATCCATGGAATTATGTCTTGGCACTGTTCTCCAAGATGCCAGACTGTAATAAACCAATTAAGCACACTGTTCAGTAGCCGATGGCAGTGTTTCTTTGAATTTTTATTTCAAATTTTTTGTATTTTTAACAATTAGTATCAAAAAATTAATATACTAAATTGTACTGTGTGCTTGGAATATTAGTTGTCAATTTGTTTGAAAATATATGTGAATTATTCTTACCATGTTCAGTTGATAATTGATAAACTAGAAATAGTTAAGGAAAAAATGTCAAATTTTAAACTGAATATTTTTTTCAGATCTGTCAAAGTTTTGTCACTATAAAGAAAGAACTAAGACTTTGTAAAAGGAAAAAAAACAAACAATCTCTAGTATTTAAGGAAAACATAAAAAAAACACATTGAAGTTTTTAAAGAAAACAAAACTTTTTACATGTTTAAGTGATTCCAGTTGTCTATACTACCAGTGTCTGTAGAATAATGCGATCTGACCCGGCTCTGTACACTTTTGATGCTTAAGTTTTGATTTTACTATTAGAATTCATAAAACTTGCTCTGAACAAAGCAAGTTATTTTATAAATTGATAAAAAAATGCTTTAGATTTACTATTATATTTCATATTTAACAGAATGTTTATGGTACTTTGTTTTGTTTTAGGATGGAGCCATTCCATTATTTGGTCTAATCATGCATTTCCTTTGTCTTTAATAATTCCTCAAATTTTCAGACGTCTGGTTTATTATGACTGGAATTGTGTAAGAGTGCCTGTTAACTATATTTTATACAGATTTCATCACTTTTTTTTCTTACTTTCTCATTTTGCTTCGCAATTTTGAGACTTACAACTGGGTTTATTTTTATATTTTATTCAAATTTTTCTTCTTTATTTTGGTGAAGTTTTAAAATTTATACTTGAAAATTTAATAAAATGACCAAAAGATTTAATGTATTAAAAAAAAATTTTTTTAACACTACATAACTGTAGTTTATGTACAACAAAGAGAACATAACCTGTATGCCCTTATTTGTTCATGATAAAGGGTTAGCTCCCTTTAATTGACTATTTATGGTGATATTAAGTCAATAATTGTTTTTAGTGGCTATTTAAGGTCATTTATCTGTTTTTGGTTGATTGAATACCAAGTATGTTACTATTTTATCACTTTTATCATAAATCTGCATACATTATGTTCTACATCGTTCAAAATAAGAGTTAATGCCCTGTCAGTAATCAAAACTGATCTTCCACTGGACTTCACTTTGACTTTTATGAGAAAATTATCATCATCATTATATGATTATATATGTATGGGTGGCATCTTTAGGGACTCTGAGTGAAAGCGTAGTCATACATTTATCAATATGATTTTTATTTGAAAAGTCCATGGGGTCACTACTGACTTAAATGTTTTTTAATAAAAAAAGACACTGCTACATCAAGTGTAATTTCACTTTGATGAAATTAAACAAAATACATGTAATGAAAAACCTGCTGTCAATTACCTGAAAATGTAAATACAGTGCACCATAATTGAGTAAAACTCAACTGGGAAAAATTTAACGTAAGATAACAATATGCATTAGTTAAGCTTTTGCATACTTTAAAGGGACTCCACTGAGGTTGGAATTTGCAATAATGTTGGAATTTGCAATAATGACCCAAAACTTCCCAAATCTAGGAAAGAATTAGACAAAAAGTACAAAAACAAAAACGATTTTTAATTCAA